CAGAATTTAAACTTTGACAACAACAGTGTAAGGATTATGCTTAAAGTAGGCAAATTCCTTCTGCGCACCGGTATTTGGTGCAATATTCTGTCAGACTGGAGTGTGGGACCGTCTGATGATTTACATCTTCAAATGTTCTCTTGGACAGGAATGTGGGGTCCTTGAAGTTGAAGATTCAACCTTCTAGGAGAAGAAGACTAATTCAGATTCGACCCGCCATCTTGTTGCATGTGTTATAAATACACAACAAACAACACTACTTGAGGCATGATAACAATGATACCAATCCTCAGAACATAATATGTATAGTATGGGTCTTCTGCTGTAATTCCGATGCCAAAAATGTTGTGGTCTCGCGCTCCGACGTTTCCGGCGGACGCCGCCGCGTGCATGGCGGCGTTGATGGTTTCCGTCGTTTTTCCGATGCTGCTGCTTGGGCGGCGCTGCGAGGCGAAGATAAAGCTGCCGCCGGGAGTCGTCGTGGAGGGAGTTATCGTGTTCGGAGACTCCATCGTCGACCAAGGCATGAACAACAATCTCCAGACCTTCGCCAGGTGCAATTACCCTCCGTACGGCCAGGACTTCGCCGGCGAGATGCCCACCGGCAGGTTTTGCAACGGCAAGACGCCGTCGGACTTCATAGGTACGTAACTAATAATATTTTATTTAATGTTCTCAAAAAATAATATTTTATTTAATTTAATGTCTCATTATTGATTGAGGGGTACGATTTCAATTCAATTCGAACTAAATGAATCGAGTACACGGTACAAATTGAAGATTAATTTGAATAATTCATACAATTTTTTTTTTTGGACTACTGTTCATCAATATACTTTTTCACCCATACAGTTCCGATTAAAGTTTGGAATTTTAGAATTTTAGCATTGAATTGTATTTAATTAAAAGAGGAAGAGTGGGCATTCAACACACTATTTTCACATTTTTTTAAAATTTTAAATACACCATCAATAATTGAAAATTGATATTTTTCTTCAATTCATACTTTATCTCTCCAAATGGTTCTTTTTGGTGATTGGTTTGGTGTCACCATCCTAGACAGGGTTTGTTTGAGTGATAACTAAACCTTTTTGTTATTCGTTTTGAGTAATAAAAATAAGCTTGTCATAAAAGTAATATATTAATTTGACATTATGTTATTAGTCAACGAGTAATATTTACTAACACAAATTTTCTTGAATTAACTAATAACAACCCATATTTGATAAAATTTTAGTTTAAAGTTCAATCTCCGTGGTTTGGGACTTTGGACAGTTAACTTATCTATTGACCTTTTCAATTTGAGACGGTCAACTATGAGTAACATATTCAACTTTATCTTCTTTGTGGGTTCTTTATTGACTAATATTATAAGACAGATTTTATTGTCAATTTTGAATATTAGTTGTAAACTTTTTCGTAAATCAAATATTTTAGTTAAAAAGTTTAGTCAATCCAACAAATTTCATATTTATTATTACACATTCAATACTCCAGCGGAAGAATTGGGAGTGAAAGAGCTGTTGCCCGCTTATTTTGACCCGAATTTACAACCCGAAGATTACAAAACGGGCGTGAGCTTTGCATCCGGAGGCTGTGGATTTGATCCTCTTACAGCACAAATTGCGGTAATTTTTTTTTTTTTTATTTTCAAGTTTCTTCTATTTTTAGTCGCTCAATTATAATTATATTTTCACTTGTAATCATGCACTTTGATTTTTTTATTATTATTTTTACATTGGTCATGTTTGGTAACATAGTTAGTTTATCAACTAATTTTAATTTTTTTGACTACTATAAGCTGTTTGACTCAGTTAAATAATCAATATGAGTGTTTGATTAATTAGTTTTTTGTAACAACTTAATGCTCCAAAATGTTAAAATACAAGCAGCTTTTTCGATTCATTTTTTGAGAACGTCATTTAATTTGCATGTAATCAGCTATCAACGAATAGCTAATTTACCAAATACTTTTATATAATTAGCTATTGTTATTAAATAGTCAAATTTACTAACCCAATCAGTTAAAAACTATTTACCAAACATGGTCATTGTGTTTTCGAATCTTCCTAATTTTTAAAGTAAAAATATGTAGTAATAATTTGTTTTTTATATATAAAATATTTAGACAGCTATACCCCTTTCGACGCAATTAAACTACTTCAAAGAATATAAGGGAAAGCTAAAGGAGATGGTTGGTGAAAACCAAACAAATTACATTATAGAGAACACACTATTTGTGGTGGTCGCCGGCACCAATGACGTCCTCAACACCTATTTCTCCCTCCCTATCCGGCGTTACAAGTACGATATTAATGCCTACGCCGATCTTATGATACAAGGAGCCGCCGATTTTATCCAGGTAATTAAATTCGTTTATTGTAAAGTACGCTTTTCTACATTTGTAACTCTTTGATAAGTACGTTTAAGAAAAAAAAAAAGGAAGACAATTTTAGTCATTGAAAATAGCTTACTCAATCTCTAGTTATTTGGTTTGTCACATTTAGTTGCTCAATTATTATTGCGGTGAAGAATTTAATTAGCCTTTTGGTGACAAAATTTGTTTGCTCCCCAATTGGAGGGAAAAAAGAATAAGGTAGTAGATTGATAAATTATAAAAATAATTTTGTGGAGCAAATGTTAGTTGTCATTGAGAGGCTATATCTGCCATCGACATGATAATAATTGAGAAATTAATTATCATTATCGTTGATTTTTTTTGAAGGAATTGTACGACTTGGGGGCGCGACGGGCTGTGATTTTTGGTATCCCACCAGCAGGGTGTGTGCCCTCTCAGAGAACATTAGCAGGAGGCAAATCAAGGGCTTGTGTAGAAGAGTATAATGAAGCTTCACAAATAGTGAATTCCAAGCTCTCAGCTGAGATTGATTCTCTAAACAATAAATTGCCACAATCTACCATTGTTTACGTAGACATATATAATCCCCTTCTCGACCTCATCCAAAACCCTCAAAATTATGGTTAGATTACTTTCACTGGTTAAATTTAATTGAGTCATTAAATTGATAGAACATATAGTATATATAGTAAACAACTAAACAAAGATCTAAGTTGTTTATTCATGTGTGATTGAATTGGTGTTAGGATTCGAGGTTGCTGACAGAGGATGTTGCGGGACTGGAGTGATAGAAGTTACGTTTTTATGCAACAAATACACCGGTACGTGTCCTGACCACAATAAATATGTGTTTTGGGACAGTTTTCATCCCACAGAGAGGGCTTACGGGATTCTTGTGCATCAAATCCTCCAAAAGTATGTCTACCGTTTCGCCTAAACAAATTGTACGTCAACAAATAGTTTACCTCAACATTGGACACGTATATATAGTTCATAGGAACAACTTTATGTTCTTGTTTGTAAGAGTTCCCTTTATTTTTCTTCTCAAGATTTGATTGAAGGATGGGGAAAAGAAAAAAGAATGTATGGATTTGATTTTTTGGTGTATTATGATAATTTATAAAGACTTTGATTATATGAAATTAAAGTATGTACATATGATATCACTTATTTGATAAAATATATATTATTGATACAACTTTTTGTATATATCAATGACTCAAAATTTGTAAATAAATTTCATAATACGATGTAAATATCTCACAGATATAAGAATTATGCTTCATTCATTGATAATTATTTTCGAGATAATGTTTGATTATTTGGTGGCTGCAATGCACTCCATGTGATCCTATCAAAATTATCAAATCTTTTATCGCAAAATCATAAAACTTACATATATAACTAAATAATACTAAAATTGTACTGTAATATTTAAACTAACTAAATTAAATTTAGTACTATGAGTCTATGACTGTGAACCTGCATCTATCTATATTTTAATATTGGCACTAGGAATGCACCGAACTAACTAAATTAAATTTAGTACTGTGACTGTGAACCTGCATCTATTTTAATAATGGCATTAGGAATGCACCATTGCTTTTGTTAGAATTAATGTTTGTGTTGGTCGAGTTAATCCCTTGATCAAAAAATTGATTTGGTAATTATAAAGTTTCAAGTTCGATTTTATGTGAAAGTTGTTTATTTATCTTTTTGACCTGAGTCAGTCAATTATAAGCAACATAAGTTTTACTAAAGTAGACTTCATCCCGAGCACATCTTCAAGTACCAGTTAAGGATTTTGCTGTATTTACTTATAAATCAAAGAATTCAAGTTGGTTAATTATATCACAAAACATTATTATATTGCATGTCAGATGAATTTTTAAAGATTTTTTACCCTTAAAGATTATATTGTATTTATAATATCAACCAGATTAACTAAATTAAGAACGAAAATACTTTAGTGATTCACATAATGTTAATAGTGAAAATCTCTTATGATATTTCCATTAAGATGAAACTAATTCATATTCGATCATGTTTGCAAAGGTCTGGGCAAAGGCAATTGATGTAATAAATACAGGGGTTTCTACTATATCGTAAGGTACTGAGATTGGTTCTGGCTACAGTTTCTTCACTCAGTCTGCTTGTTGGCCTGGTTTAATTTCTTGAGTCCGATTAACGTGACTGTGTGTCAGAGGTTCCTTGAGACTGGTTTGTCCACGTGTCCTAAGATTCCTAATTCCTTTAGGTGTGTTGCCACCAAGTTCGGCTTAGGGAATTAAGCCTTGGGTTCCAAGTATTATAGGTCGGGTGAACGGTCCCGACCCTATGCGGCTTGGGCAGTCCGATCAACACTGCTCCTCGCTTGGCCGATCGGACCGCACTTAGTCTGGATTTAGGTCGGGTAGGCGAACAATCCAAGTTGGCAATCGTCGAATCGGGCTCCACCCAAATATTAGACCGATACCAATCAAGTGTATACTACGACTGGATAGGAGATAATCCCTATCACCAATGTATCCCTACCAAATAGTTTACCATAATTTACATTCAAATAAATTACATTAGAAAGACATTGTGTAACAAAATCAATATAAAGATATAAAGATGGTTGACAATTTGACACCATCTTATACTTTTGATTTATAGGGGCATGGTGGAAGTGTGGAACTATTGGGAACCCTCGTGTGACACTGTCACAGTAAGGTATGGAGAGTCTCCATTCTCGAGTATCAAGAACTGATGAATTTCCATTCTGAAAAAGTAATCATACTTTAATCTCGACAGTGCGCCACCATTCGTCGTCTCTGAAGGCAATGCGTCTGAATTCCACTACATTTTCCGGCTGAATCTTCCGATTTCTGCCCCAATTCCAAGCAAACACAAAAAGAAGCTCAAGTCAAATCCCGACAATGCATCTTTGATCTGCACAGATTCGGATCCGTTCCAGTTCGCAACAGCTCGGGAAGCAAAACATGGCGCTTGGAGAGGCGGCGACGGTGGCGCAGCTGGCGGGGCTGAGCGCCGGCGCACTGATCGGGCTAATAGTGAGAGCAGCCAACACCGCACGAATGCACAAGCACAACTGCAACCAGTTCGCGCAGCACGTGAAGATGATCGGGAATCTTCTGGATCAGCTCAGGGTTTCTGAGCTCGAGAAGTACCCTGAAACCAGAGAGCCATTGGAGCAGCTTGAGGATGCTCTCAGGAGGGCTTACCTTCTCATAAACAGTTGCCAAGAGCGGAGCTATTTCTACCTCATTGCCATGGGGTGGAGCATTGTTTACCAGTTCAGAAGGGCCCAGGAAGAGATTGATCGATACTTGAGGATCATCCCTCTCATTGCCCTTCTTGACAATGCTAGAGTCAAGGTAGACATACTTTTGATGCAAAATGTTATATTTTAAAATCAATATGCAATATTATAAATTGAAGAGTTACTTAACAGAAACATTGCAATAGTTAGGAGGGAAAGTGTAATACTTATGAAAAACTCGAATCCTTTCAGGATATGTGAGATGGTCTCAGTAAATTTTGCCTTCTTGTTTTGATTTGGGACTGTTTCTCATGTTCTTTGTGTATATTAGCTGTGGCTGTTCCTTTCTGATTGATCACTTTCCTCTTTGTTAAAAGAATTTCTAGGCAGAATGAATATTACTCCCTCCTGAAAGAGGTTAAGAAATTCAGTAGATGCTGTAAAATTTGGTGCTGGATTTTGTGTTATGGTCTGCAGTGTTATCTTACTCTGTTGAAATTTGCAGAGAAGGCTAGAAGATATACAGAGGGATCAGCGCGAATATACGTTGGATGAAAATGACAGAAAAGTGCAGGCTGTGATTCTGAATCCACAACCTTCTAAAAACGACAGAATTGTGTTGATAAAGAACCTATCTCGTTCTTATCCCAATTTGCCAGTCAATGCAGCGCTCAAGAGTGAAAGTAAGAAACTCCGGGTAGAATTACAACATTCACAAGCTAATATGGACGCAGGTCAATTCGAAGTGATTCAGCGTCTGATTGAGGTTACAGAAGACGTGGCGAGTAGTCTGTCAGCAGAGAGTTCACCCGTGAGAAGTGCAAAGAAATTGGAGGTGAATGTCGAGAATGACTCTAAGCTAACAGAGAGTCATAAGACTGAACGGTTGGTTTGTTTTTAGTTCTCAATCTAATTACATGTTGGAAGTGCCCATCAAAAATATGAAATTGTTTTCAAGAACAGTACTCTAACTTTCTCAGATATGTGAGCTTTTGTTAGTTCTTTCCTTCTGATTTCTGAAAACTATCTTACAGGAAACTTGCCTTTACTCTTAGGTCTACCTGCTCCCGTTGTTGTTAGTTTATAATTATTCTTATGTAGGCATATTTTGTGTGTGTCCTAGAGTTCTGTCGGGACATAATCTTGGATCAACTAAGAGCTCGAGTTGGCAAGAAGAGTGGCAAGCAGATCTACTTGGATGCTGTTCCAAGCCTTCCTTGTGTATGTTGGTGCAGCTACTTCGAGATTACCTTTCCATTAAGTTGTAGTGAGTCATAGATAATCAGTATCCACTTATTGATCTCCGATATTCGCTATATATTGATTGCCACATCATATTTTCAGGTGTGAAGACTTTCTTTTGGCCATGTGGAACTTTTGCGAAAGTTGCATCAGTAGCTACTGGAAAACAAATCAGTAAGTGAATCTCGACACCTTCCCCCTTCATGTATTCAGCTTGTTCAGAATCGAAACAAATGAATTACAAATTACGAGAAATATGTTCTTTTAATTGTTGCAGCTTCAGCAGAAGCTTGTAACGAAATGATGGCCTATTCTTTAGTGTTATCGTGCTGCTGCTATACATGCTGCATCCGGCAAAAGCTCCGTAGGGTTCTCAACATTAAGGTACCTCGTATCATTAGCACTTTGAACTGGGAAGTCTTTAAGCAAGCAACTAAATGCTCCCGGTTTACTGTCTTGCCTTTGTAATTTCAAAAAATTGCTTACTGCTTCAAATTGATGACAAGGGTACTGCGTTCTAGATTTGAATTTACTCCATAGAAGCATTGTAGCTATTCGTTTTGTGAATCCGTTAGACAAATAATTTACCCGAATCTGAACATTGTTTCATTTTGTATTGCTGCATTTTGACCTGCAAGACTCGTCGGGTTCTAACTCAGTTTTCCTTCAGGGAGGTGCTGTTGATGACTTCTTGTCGCATCTCCTGTGTTGCTGCTGTGCATTAGTCCAAGAATGGCGGGAGGTGGAGATCCGAGGAGTGCAAGGTAAACACGCGATACCTACTTTTTGCTCGTTTAAAACATTGGAATAAAACTCCATATGATGTGCATTGTCACAAGAAAACTTGTTTTCACGAGATAATTTCTTTCTTTCTGCAGGAGTGACGAAACCTGGTATGAACCCTCCCCCATCTCAGAACATGGAGTACTAAAAGACTGTTCTTTATTGACTATAAGTTGCTATAAGTTATCATCCATCATTTGTACATGAATCTTTCTATCTCATATATATATATATATAGCTTTGATTTACGGGAAAGCATGTAGCCACTACCCGAAGGTGCTCTCTATATATGTATATATATGCAGCAGTATTACATGACCCAATCTGTGGCTGAACTGTGGAAGTGTTGTTGTAGACTTGAAGTGTTATAATTCAAACATAGTTATTGATGCTAAACTGCAGTGTAATCACAACTTTTCTGATCTAAACTTGATCTTAATTTCCTCTCATTTGATATTTTCTCCAACAACAGATTTAACCTATTCTATTATTTACAGCCTTACAGGTATTAAGTAAAAAATAGGTCATGCTAATAACTTTGATTTTGTTTATATCACTTATGTGAGACGCTTTGTGAACTCGGTAGCTCATACTATTGTTCGAGATTCAGGATTTCATTCGGAACAGGGTGAGTGGACATATGTTCCTCCCCGTTTATTGTTGACGTTTTAAACGCTTATTATTGATATTTTATTTGTTATCTTAAAAATAAGTAATGATAGGTCAAAATGATTTATTTTGAAGTTTTTTGTAATTCAATAACCTAACTGCATCCCCTGAAAAATTTGATGACTCGTTTAATCCATTAACCAAAAATAGTTGTTATACCATGGATCAGGGTTTACCAAATTGTGAATTATGTTTTTAAATTTTGAAAAATTGTGAATACAATATATGATCATCATAAATTGTGAATTTTTAAAAGTTAAATTGTAAATTGTGTATTTTTGAACTCGGCTCCTTGTAAGGTGAATCCGGATCCATATAATAATTTGCCAACCAAAAAGGATGGTCCATAATTGAGTGGGTGAAACATGATCGAGGTGGACCCGAGTCGACAAAATAATTTGTCAACCAAAAAGAGATGATCCGAAATTGAGTGGGTTATATGTGATTCTTGTACCTAAAAGATCACATGTTTTAATTTTTATTAACATTTTTTTTATTAAATATGTACACTGAAAAGCTATTTATAGTGATTTTCTTTGTCACTAAAAAAAATAAAATCACTTAAAAATACTTTGAATCATCTTTTGGCACATAAATTACAAATAATAACAGAAAAGGAAGCAAAAATATGATTAGGGGTTAGATCAGTTATAACAAAATGAGAATTAGTTTTTTACACCCAAAAAAAGAAAATGAGAATTAGTTTCGGAGTATAACCGCTTCTATAAAATCTTTCTACAAACCGTCTCGACGCTCATAATCGCAATTTCCTGTGTCATTTTCCCCCCAAAATTCCCCAGAATCACTAACTGCTACCGCAACGATGTCATCGGAGGCTGCGGAGGAGAAGAAGGTGAAGGTGAGAAGTTCCGATGGAGAGGTGTTCGAGCTGTCGCAGACTGTGGCTCGGCAGTCGGAAACTTTAAAGCACATGATCGTAGACGATTGCGCCGAGGACTGCATTCCCCTTCCGAACGTCACCGGAAAGATCCTCGGATTGGTGCTTGAGTACTGTAAGAAGCACTCCGTGGTTTCGAGTGTGAAGGAGCTCATAGCCTTCGATGTCGAGTTTGTGAAAGTCGACCAGGCCACTCTGTTCGACCTCATACTGGTAATTTTATGATTCTGAAGCTTTAAAATCATTTATATTCCCCAAGTTTGTTTGTTGTGATTACATTATTTGTATTTGCATTGCATTTCGATGATTATTACCTTGCTTATTACTGTGAAATAGTAGGAACTCAATGCTAGTTGCTTCGTTTTGACTGTTGTGTTTTAATTGTTCTTGATTTTAGCTCAGATCTCTCCGTTTCATGAACGGCTGGTTTCTCGATTACTAGAAGTTGTGTTAGGTGTAATTAGTTAGGTAGTATACTAATTTTGAATTCTCTCCCCTTCATTCCCATAAAAAGAACTGAATGCTAAATGATGATAGTGCTCAAATGATGTAGTATTTGATTGTTGTTTTCTGTTAGTTCTCTTGTGACATGCAAGTATAGATGAGAATAACAATTGTTATTAAAGCATATCGGACACTTGAAAGCTCTATTGCAAAACATTGAAACAGTTGTGCTAGTTTTAAGAGCTGAGTTTATCTTCTTTTTCTTCTTTTTTTCCTTGTGGAAAAAAAACAAAAGATAATGAATACTTAGTGTTCAGACTGATATGGCATATGATTGGTGTTTTCAGCTTATTCTATTGTGACATGCAAATATGGATGACAAATAGCAATTGTTATTCAAGCATATCAGTACATTGTTAGCATCATGACATCATCTACTGTAGCTAAGATGATTATCACACTTGAAAGCTCTACTGGAAAACATTTAAATAGTTGCTAGTCTTGACTCTTTTGAGCTGAATTCATCTTATTATTTTTCTTGTGAAAAAAATGAATTATTACTTGGTTCCCTTTTTAAACTAAAAGGTAGTGCAATGATGAGTTGCTTCATTTCAAATGTTTAGCCTCGTGGTTTTTATGATTAAAACTGTATCAATGATTACATTTTATGATGAATGAATGTAATACTTGTGTTTACTTTAATTTTAGTTTTCCTTTCTCCCTTCTCTGTTTTCTGTTTTTTCAAATGCAATTCCAAGTAAATGCATTTTCTGTCTTTTTGTTCTTTAATTTTCCATTTCCCGGGTTAGTAAATAAACCCATACATGTGATCCTTATGGAGTTATGGTTGTTATGTGATCTTTTAGGCACATACATGTGATACTTATGGTTGTGTTATTTGATCTTTTAGGCTGCGCACTACCTGCGTATTCCTTACCTTCTGACTCTGACTTGCAAAACCTTGGCGGATTCAATCAAGGATAAAACTCCAGAAGAGATTCGCGAGGCATTTAACATCAAGAATGACTATACCCCCGAGGAGGAAGAGGAGATCCGTCGGCTGTACTGGTGGGCTTTTGAGTGATATGCTAACTCTCTCCATTTATGGCTGATTCTGAGTGATGCTGCAGAGCTGGTTTTAATCATTTGTGTGATCTGATTCACTGAATGTTATATTTCATGATGTTACTGTGCTTTTGTTTTTTCATATTGACACTATCCTGATTTTGTCCTTTATTTTGGACCTTTTGGTGATCTCTAAGCACTTGCAATGGAAAATATTGTGCTTGTAGCATATGCTAAGCAGCTTAGAAGATTATATTAGTATACTTACTGCGGGCAGGCTCCCCGGTGGCTTTGTTATAGGTTTTGTTACCAAATGAAGCACTTGCCACTGGAATATTACATAGCTGAATTGCGTTCAACTTTGTACCACATTACGAGTCTGGAAAATTGAAATTTGTCTATTTTGAAAATCTTCGGTTACTATATTATGCAATCGGTATATGCTATTGTTATATGGATGTCCACACAATTGTGTGGACCATCATGATGCGCCTCAAATATGTATATTGTCAAATGACCATGTAGTAGAATTAAAATAATATTTTAGTGTTGTTATAATACACCTATTGTATGTACAAATTAAATATGTATTTTATCAAATAAATGTGTTTTTGATGCGTATAAATGAAATTGGAATAAGGGCCAAATAGGCCACCCAACTGCACACCAAAGTACAATTAGGTCACTGAACTCAAAAAAGATGCAATTAGGTCCTTAAACAATACAAAATTATGCAATTAGATCCAAAATAACCTGTTTACATAAAATTGTAAGTTACCGATTTAAAAAATAATTTTTAAAACTAATTTTAAATAAAATAATTAAAATTGAATTTAATTTCGGCAGTTAATTTTAATTAATTATTTTATTTAAAATTAGTTTTAAAAATTATTTTTAAAATTGATAACCTACAATTTCAGGTAACATAGATTATTTTGGATCTGATTGTATAATTTTATGTTCTGTGATCTAATTGTATTTTTTTTTTATTCGGTGGCTTAATTGCACTTTGGTGTACAGTTAGGTGGTCTATTTGACCCTTATTCCAATGAAATTAGATTGCATATATGTGAAACTAGTGTGTGAGTGTGAAATGAAATTAAAAGAGAGCTCATACATGCCCTGGTCCATGTAAAAATTTACCTACTATATAAAGGTGCTCACAGAATCTATTCATGTGTAATGACCTACTAATTATTGGTAACAATTAGACTTATACAATTGTGTTAGTCACGGTCAGCCTTTTACAATTGTCTCCAGCCGCCCTGCAGGGATGACACGAACGAAGTTTTGAATATGATTAGGGGTTAGATCAGTTATAACAAAATGAGAATTAGTTTCGGAGTATAACCGCTTTCACCGCTTCTACAAAATCGTTCTACAAAACGTCTCGACGCTCATAATCGCAAATTTCCTGTGTCATTTTCCCCCCAAAATTCCCCACAATCACTAACTGCTACCGCAACGATGTCGTCGGAGGCTGCGGAGGAGAAGAAGGTGAAGGTGAGAAGTTCCGATGGAGTGGTGTTCGAGCTGTCGCAGATTGTGGCTCAGCAGTCGGAAACTTTAAAGCACATGATCGAAGACGATTGCGCCGAGGACTGCATTCCCCTTTCGAAGGTTACTGGAAAGATCCTCGCAATGGTGCTTAATTACTGTGAGACGTGCGCCGCGGCTTCGAGTGTGAAGGAGCTCATAATCTTCGATGTCGAGTTTAGGAAAGTCGACCAGGCCACTCTGTGCGACCTCATACTGGTAATTTTATGATTCTGAAGCTTTAAAATCATTTATATTCCCCAAGTTTGTTTGTTGCGATTACATTATTTGTATTTGCATTGCATATCGATGCTTATTAGCTTGTTTATTACTGTGAAATAGTAGAAACTCTATGCTAGTTTCTTCGTTTTGACCGTTATGTTTAAATTGTACTTGATTTTAACTCAGATCTCTCCCTTTCATGAAAGGCTGGTTTCTCGATTACTAGAAGTTGTGTTAGGTGTAATTAGTTAGGTAGTATACTAATTTTGAATTCTCTCCCCTTCATTCCCATAAAAAGAAGATAGTTATACAACTGAATGCTAAATGATGATAGTGCTCAAATGATGTAGTATTTGATTGTTGTTTTCTGTTAGTTCTCTTGCGACATGCAAGTATAGATGATGAATAACAATTGTTATTAAAGCATATCGGACACTTGAAAGCTCTATTGCAAAACATTGAAACAGTTGTGCCAGTTTTAAGAGCTGAGTTCATCTTCTTTTTTTCCTTGTGGAAAAAAAAAAACAAAAGATAATGAATACTTAGTGTTCAGACTGATATGGCATATGATTGGTGTTTTCAGCTTATTCTATTGTGAGATATAACAAATAACAATTGTTATTCAAGCATATCAGTACATTGTTAGCATCATGACATCATCTACTGTAGCTAAGATGATTATCACACTTGAAAGCTCTACTGGAAAACATTGAAATAGTTGCTAGTCTTGGCTCTTTTGAGCTGAATTCATCTTATCATTTTCTTGTGAAAAAAATGAATTAATACTTGGTTCCCTTTTTTAAACTAAAAGGTAGTGCAATGATGAGTTGCTTCGTTTCAAATGTTTAGCCTGGTGGTTTTTATGATTAAAATTGTATCAATGATTACATTTTATGATGAATGAATGTAATACTTGTATTTACTTTAGTTTTAGTTTTCCTTTCTCCCTTCTCTGTTTTCTGTTTTTCAAATGCAATTCCAAGTAAATGCATTTTCTGTCTTTTTGTTCTTTAATTTTCCATTTCCCCGGTTAGTAAATAAACACATACATGTGATCCTTATGGAGTTATGGTTGTTATGTGATCTTTTATTCTTTTAGGCACGTACATGTGATACTTATGGTTGTGTTATTTGATCTTTTAGGCTGCGAACTACCTGCGTATTCCTGACCTTCTGACTCTGACTTGCCAAGCCTTGGCGGATTCAATCAAGGATAAAACTCCAGAAGAGATTCGCGAGGCATTTAACATCAAGAATGACTTTACCCCCGAGGAGGAAGAGGATATCCGTCGGGAGAACCAGTGGGCTTTTGAGTGATATGCTATAACTCTTTCCATTTATGGCTGATTCTGAGTGATGCTGCAGATGCTGGATAGCTGGTTTTAATCATTTGTGTGATGTGATTCACTGAATGTTATATTTCATGATGTTACTGTGCTTTTGTTTTTTCATATTGACACTATCCTGATTTTGTCCTTTATTTTGGACCTTTTGGTGATCTCTAAGCACTTGCAATGGAAAATATAGTGCTTATAGCATATGCTAAGCAGCTTAGAAGATTATATTAGTATAATAGTATATATACTTACTGCAGGCTCCCCGGTGGCTTTGTTATAGGTTTTGTGTTACCAAATGAAGCACTTGCCACTGGAATATTAGATCATAGTTGAACTGCGTTCAACTTTGTACCACATTACGAGTCTAAAAAATTGAAATTTGTCTATTTTGAAAATGTTCAGTTACTATATTATGCAATCGTTATATGCTATTGTTATATGGATGCCCACACAATTGTGTGGACTGTGGACCATCATTATGCGCCTCAAATATGTATATTCTCAAATGATCATGTAGTAGAATTAAAATGATACTTTAGTGTTGTTATAATAAACTTATTCTATGTACAAATATGTATTTTATCAAATGAATGTGTTTTGGATGCATATAAATGAAATTAGATTGCATATATATGAAACTAGTGTGTGAAATACTGAAATAAAATTAGAATAGAGCTCATACCCTGGTTCACGTAAAACATTTACCTACTATATAAGGGTGCACACAGAATAAATTCTATTCATGTGCAATTGTCTACAAATCATTGGTAAGAATTGGACTTATAATCCTTTGGTATCATTTTGTGTTAGACGGTCAACCTTTGACAATTGTCTCCATCAAGAACCACACGAAGAAAAATGTTTAAAGATCTAATTTTTTTTTGAAAGGATTTAAAGATCTTTTTTTGAAAACCAACCAAATGATTGTATTAATGAATCAAAGCTGCAATAGAGTCAGGAGGGATAGAATCCCAATACATAGACTGGTCCGGTGAAAAAACTAATGAAGCTAGAGTATGAGCATGCAAATTAACATGCATAGAAACATAACTTAATGAGCAATAATTAAATAAAGTCATAGATACCCTATATTGGTCCACCACGACCCCAACATAGGATAATATAGACGTTGATTCTTGGCGTATAACATTCCGAAATTCTGTACAATCCATGAGAAGATCCACCGTTGTTACGTTTTTCTCCAACAGCCAGGATAGAGCCTCCTTATAGGCTAGTGCCTCCGCCATAAGTGGCGAAAAGCATACCGGCAACTTTCCACTTCGTGTCGCCAAAAACGAGCCTTCCGGCGATAGTAGCACCACGCCGTAGATCGCCTCCCCAGTGGCCTGCCGGAATCTCGCGTCCATGTAGCATCTCCGCCTGCCGTGATCCGCACCCATTGGCACTGCAACCGGGATGGGCTGAGGGGGCCGAATGTTGGCCTGCCGATACGAGCTCAAGGCGGCCGCCGCCCTCTTCCATACGCCGGCGGGATATGGGAGGGCGCCATCCCAAACCGCCGAATTGCGGCTTCTCCATAATTGGTAAAGATCTAATTAGCTGTGCATCGAGAGGATTTTGACAATAATTAAATTTGTAACCTTTTGATACCCAAAAAGGCTAGAATATGTCATTTTATGTTTATAATTGCTAGCCTTCTACAATTGTCTCCATGTAGAAAAATGTTCAAAAAGTTAATTATTTATGCAATAAACAAAGCTAATTAATTGTGCAATAAATTTTATTGAGAAGACATTTACCTTAAAAATAAGTAATAATAGGTCAAAATGATTTATTTTGAAGTTTTTTGTAATTCAATAACATAACTGCATTCCCTGCAAAATTTGATGACTTATTTAATCCATTAACCAAAAACAGTTGTTATACCATGGATCATGATTTACCAAATTATGTATTTTTAGTATTAGAATGCAAAACATCTAGAATATAAATTGTGTTTCTAAATTTTGAAAAGTTGTGAATACAATATATGATCATTATAAATTGTGAATTTTTAAAAGTTAAATTGTAAATTATGTATCTTTAGACCCAACTCTACCTTGCAAGGTGAACCCGGATCCATATAATAATTTGTCAACCAAAAAAGGGTGGTCCGTAATTGAGTGGATGAAACGTGATCAAGATGGACCCGAGTCCACAAAATAATTTGTCAACTAAAAAGAGATGGTCCGTAATTGAGTAGGTTAAATGTGATTCTTGTACCTAAAAGATCACATGCTTTAATTTTTATTAACATTTTCTCGATTAAACACGTACACCGAAAAACTATTTATGATGATATTCTTTGTCACTAGAAAAAATAAAATCACTTAAAAATACTTTGAATCATCTTTTGGCACATAAATCTATATCTATATATATATAAAAGTAAAATCCTCCTACATCATTTTCCCGCCCAAACTTTTTTACTCAATTACTTAAATATTTTAATTTTAATTATTGGTCAAATAATTAATAAACCTTATTTGGTAACCAAATATTTAATGAAAATTAATTAACATATATTAATATGTTAATTGGTAATAATATTGCATATTTATGGTATTGCATATGTGAATCCTATGCAATACCATAATTAAGACAGAGTATATATATAAAATCAGTATCCGTTTATATTTTTTAATTTTAATTTTAATTGTAAAATATTTACAGAGTATTAATTTTATATATGGTCAATTTTTTGTGGTTTCTCCCTGTACTACTTGATCAAAGATTCAAGAATCAGATTCTCTCTCTAAGGGTTTTTCAAGAATGGTGGATTTCCTTTCGTATGTATTCTCTCTTGATTTTTTTTTTTTTTCAATTTCTGAGTTTTCTACATGTATGTGTATGTTTATCAACATGTCTTTCGTGTGCAGACATTTCAAAAGCGAATAGAAATTTTCTCATGACGTTGGACAAAGCTTTATGTATCCAACTTGGGAATGAAGTTTCGAACAACAATATTTTTGCACATTCTCTCTGGTGTATTTTTTTAATTCTTATTTCAAATTTATTCATACACATAGATAATCTGGTTGTGTGCATGCATCCTGTTTTCATATATTGGTTCTTTGAATTCGTCCACACGTCACATAGATAACTTGCTTTGTTTTTTTTTTTTTTTTTTTTTTTTTTTTTGGATTTCCGATATTTAAATAAGAAAAGTGGTTTGTAATAAAAAAAAATGTTGATATATATATATATATATATATATATATATATATATATATATATATATATATATATATATATTTTTGGTGGAGAAGATACAGATCAATCTAGAAAGATTGATCGGGAAGCACTAGAGTTCGTTGCTCATCAAGTGGATAAAGTTTGAGAAGGGACAGATTCTGTGTATATGTAAAGAGATAGGGAAGCCGGATAAGAATACAGTAAAACCAAAATGAAATTCAAAGCATTTTTTAGTTTTCAATATATCAAAGTTTTGAGCTTTGTTTCAATTCAATCTCTTCGTCTTTAAAGTGTGCATTTTTTTGTAATAAGAGGGTACTTTGTCTTTCCCTTCAAGAGGTTTTTCTTGCCATTTAAACTTTTTTTTGGGGACAAAAAAATTATGAAGTACTGTAGCTTAGTTTGAAACTTTGAATAGAGTATTATTTTGATTTTATTCTTTAGCTGACTTCCCTTATTCAAATCACTTTTCTAATGTGAAATAATGTTATTGACTTACCATGTTTGCTTTGATATGCTAAGTCATTTAAAATATAATAAAATTTATAATCGTAATACTTTCATAATAATATTGAATAAATATTAATCATATGTTTAGATTTAATAACATATTATATTAAATGAATTATATATTAATCTAATATAGTGATGGTTAATACGGTAAACTATATATAAGCATAATCTAATATAGAAAAATATTCATTATTAACCATATATAAGCATAATCTAATATAGAAAAATATTTATTATTAACCATATATAACTTAGGAAATAAATAAATTTATTAAAACTTAATTATTTATAACTTCAACTTTAATCCTAATATATAGTTTTAATATCCGAAATTAATAAGATTTTTCTTAATGTGGATCTCTATATTTTTAATAATTTTGATTTAATAATATTATACCTTAATTATAAAAATTTTACCTAACAACTTTAGTATTACATGGCATACAATAATTACCATGAATAATATTTAATAATTGACAATTTGTATTAGGCAATAAAAATTAATAGTTAATTATTAAGTCAATTATAAAATTTTTTGTACTATGAACAAAATATTTTTTTATTATTTTGATTGAATAATATTATGTCTTATTTATAAAAATTAAAAATAATACTTTTACAGGGCGTTTGGTTGGAGGGATTTTAAATTCCTTTCCCACTTAATTCCCACCTAATTCCAAAGGCCATTAAATTCCGTAGTTTGGTTGGAGGGAATTGCAATTCCCCCATTTTCATGGAATTAAAATCTCATGTCCCCCCTGGTATTTTAATTCCTGGGAAAAAAAGATAGTGATGAGTCAAAATTACCCCTTCCTTTTTTAACCTAAAATAAATGTTTAACAACAATAATGAACATTTTTGACTTTATACTACTTATTCCCTTTCAATTCCCATGTATACCAAACATTGGAATTGAAATTCCCAGTAATTCTATTCCTGTCAACCAAACACTGAAATTTAAATTCCTACTTTATTCCCAGTAATTCAACTCCCATGGAATTACAATTCCTTTACCACATAATTTCCCCCTCCAACCAAACGCCCTGTTAGTACTATAGATGTGACTAATAATTAACTTAATTATTAAGGCAGTTGATATGTATTTAACTTTAAAAAATCTTTAAATATATGAATTATAGTAGCATAGAATCAATTAGTAGGACAATTATATTAGGCAATCTAATTAATAATTGACTTTTTAAATTATATTCCCTTTTCAATAATGAATATTTTCCTAAACTATATATATACACAAATTATGCTTATCAAATATAGAATTAGAAGTATGTGTGTGTGTGTGTATAAGGCAATTATTTTAGTAAATACTTAATATTTTCATAGAAAAAGAGAACTACGGAGTATAATTTATTTTGTACTAATAATATTATACCTTAAGCATAAAATAAGTATATTAAGCAATTATTTTAATAAATACTTAATATTTTGGTACATTAAATTTCACCATTTAGTACATGGAATTAATTCTTTAATTATTATAGTATTATAGCTTAGTTAATATATATAAAAATCAAAATTCTCA